AACATTTTTTTTAAAAAATCGTTTCTTTAACAGGAACAGCAAGAACATCGCTGGTTATAACTATTGGTCTGTCACCACGTCACCGCGGAGAAACAGCTAGTACTATAATGTTTGGACAAAGGGTGGGTAACAAATTCCATTGTTTTACTCATTTTATCTTAATTTATGGTTTAAAGAAGCACCTATGGACTAGTTGGTTGGGTTTCCATGTATTCAACGATATTATTTTCGGCTAACATATAATGGAATCAAAACTTCACCAAGAGCGTAAGGGATTATATTTATACAGCCATTCGATTGCTCAAGATATGAACCCCCTTTTTATTACTTTGTATAGGCTATGAAAGTGGAGAATATGTTGAAGCTCAAGGAAGAATTTGATTATAAAAGTTTGGCTAGAAAGCTCGACATACAGTTAGACCAACTGATTATGGAGCACGAAAGGAAACAGAAAGCACTCGAAGATGAGATTGAAAGAATAACCATGGATGCGCAAATCCAAATTTCTGAGTCTGAACGAAATTGTGCAAATTTAATGGAGGTAAGCTTCTGACCCCTCAAAATTCACTGTAACTTTATGCGTATTCTAACTTTAGCTGGAAAGTAGTGTCTACTGCACTAATATGGTTAATGCCATAAAGCTTATCACGACCAATCAACCATAATTTACATAAACTTGTAGCACTTTATTTAAATTTCTGCATTGTTTCTCAGAACATGAATCTATCAAATTTGTAACACTTGATCCTTCTCAATTGTCATACGATCCTGGATGAATGGTATGAAGGGAAATGAAAGGGGTTTAGGTGGGGTGGAGCTAAGCGAACGGTTATTGGTGGACCCTTTAATCTACTTTCTATTGAATGTGTATTGATTCATATCTTCTTCTTCTTGTTGCAGAAGGAAAGATTGAAGTATCAGAAGGAATATAAGGAATCAATAAAGAAGCTCGAGGAGAAATGGATGATGAATCAACAAAAGCACAATGAAAAAAAGGTGGAAATATAATCTTTTACAGAACTATCTCCCTCTTATTGCATGATATTGATTTCTCATACTTTTCTTCATCCTCTTTGTTACTTTAGTTTCTATTACAGCTAACTTGAAACTCACTTATAATATCTGCCATTTTCGTTCCACCTAGGACCAGATGGCCTCTTCTGCTGAGGAAGTTGCTGAGCTAAAAAGGTTACTTAACAAAGAAATTTCTCTAAGGAAAGTTGCTGAAGAGGAAGTCCATAGCCATAAAAGTCAAATTGCTCAATTGAAAATATCCGAGGCATATCTCGTTTACCTTTTTCTTTCGTCTTTAAGCAAATTTTGCTGCTACTTATTTCGCGTATAGACCGCTATCTTATATTGCCGCACTTCCGTTGTATAGGCATCAGCAAGTTCTGAGGTCTTGAAACTGCGAAAGATGCTTGAAGATGAGGCATATCAAAAGGAAAAACTTGAAGGGGAAATATCAACGCTACAAACGCAGTTATTGCAACTAAGTTTTGAAGCTGATGAGGTATGTTATCAAATTTCAACCGTGTCCGTCTTTCGTATCTCTTGCTTAATCGCTGATAAGTGCCCGTCTCATGAGGAAATTGTATAAATGGAGCATATGGTAAATGTTAAAATTTTTAAACTTTGTCCATGTCATTGTAATTAACAACCTAAATATTAATGAAATTTATGAGATTAAATTGTGGTAGAAGGTGGGGCTTGTAATTGCTTTAATTGCATTATATATCAAATTTTAACCAGACGTGCATTCTTTTTTATAGACTAGAAGAAGGCTTGACTTAGGTGGTCCCGAAAAAGTGCCGGGAAGTCTAGAATCTCTCATTTCTCAAGCTAGACCACAGGTAAATGATTTGGGAAATGGAGAAAAGGCCTCGATAGCAAGCCTCTTCGAACAAGGTTGTAGTAACTCCTGAGCTGGTATTTATTGATCAAAACTTTAATAGATGATAATATATTTATAGTGAATCTCTTTGCTTTCTCTTATAGTGGGATTGCAAAAGATCTTGTCATTGCTTGAAGCAGAAGATGCTGATGTGCGGGTTCATGCTGTGAAAGTGGTAGCGAATTTAGCTGCCGAGGGTATCGTTTCTGCCTGTTTGATCCTCATTCACTTTTTGTTGTACCATGGACGAACTTTGCTCTAAATTTGATTTGATTAAAATAGAGTTTTTTAAGTACTGTGAATCTTGTAGGAAGCATTTTAGGACTAAAATTGTTAGTTCTAGATTATCGAGGATTTCCGTACAGATGTAGTATATGTTTCCCCGGTTTCTTCTTTTCAGATAATAGTAATTACTTTGTGTTGTTTCCTATTCATCGGTCAATGACCGTAAAACTTGACCTGCATTGTGCAGAATCAAATCAGCAGAAGATTGTAGAAGCTGGAGGTCTAACATCCTTGCTGGCGCTGCTTGGAAGCTCCGAGGATGAGACCGTTCATAGAGTCGCAGCTGGTGCAATTGCCAATCTTGCGATGAATGGTAAAATATTTCGCTCCGTTTATTGGCCTATGAAGTCCTTTTTGCTTTCGATTGCTCTTTCTTTTACATGGTACACCTTTTATTTTGTTAGAAACCAATCAGGAACTCATAATGTCTGAAGGGGGCATTCACTCGTTATCAATGACAGCAGCTAACGCCGAGGATCCTCAAACATTTAGAATGGTTGCTGGCGCCATCGCCAATCTCTGTGGCAATGGTAAATCACTCGACCTCTTTGATTTTCATCTGCAGCAATCCTCGTATTTGACTTCGTTGTTAAGCTCACGAGAAGTTTCTGTGTGTTGATCAACTTCGAATGGCGAGAAACTCTAAATAATAAGCTTTTTTGATGTTGCATTTGGAGCACTTTACAATGTGTTTTCTTGATGAAGAACATTATCAGCGTAGGGCTTAAATGAATGTGTCTTTCTACTGATTGCGTTCTTAAAAGTTTCATGTAAATTTATCGGTTGGTTTACCTTTTCGACTGGTAATTTTCGATTACCTTCTCCAGATAAGCTGCAGAATAAGCTAAGAGGTGAAGGTGGCATCAAGGCATTGTTGAGAATGGTAAAATGCGGACATCCCGATGTTCTTGCTCAAGTTGCTCGTGGCATAGCGAACTTTGCTAAATGCGAGTCGAGAGCATCGACTCAAGGTACATTTCTTACGTAGCCTTTTCTAGCCCATCGATGCCTTGTTACCGTAATTTACGTATGTATGATTTCTTTGACCTTTGGGGTTAATTTGATTCTCAAATTGTACAGGAAACAAAACCGGAAGATCTCTTCTGATCGAGGATGGAGCGCTTCCATGGATTGTACAGAATGCTAACAACGACGCCTCGCCAATCCGGCGGCATATCGAGCTTGCACTCTGCCACTTAGCACAACACGGTAACCTTGTTTTATCTTCTGTAAATTTCCCAAGGTTTCTCTCTTCTAAAATCTTTATATAATGAAACTCCATTTCACCCCATTGCAGAAGTGAATGCCAAAGACATGATCACCGGAGGTGCCTTATGGGAATTGGTCCGCATCTCCCGAGACTGTTCCCGCGAAGATATAAGAAATCTTGCGCATCGGACGCTTACTTCGAGCCCCACCTTCGTAGCCGAGTTGAGGCGACTACGAATAGACTATTAATGAAATTTTGGAAGATCTAATTGGAGTGATGGAGTTGAAGTGTAGGAACAATGTCCGTTCCTGGAACCGTTTCAGACTATAGAGGACTGAAACTCCGGTTTGAAATCGGAGTCCGAACAGCTGTGCTTCTGTTGAAGTTCGTAGTGAAATCGGAGGCCGAAATCAGTTTGCAGTCGGAGTATGTTCGATCAAATTGTTGTCGTATAATCTCGTATTCGTGTTCATCGGATCTATATAACCCGGAGTAAATCATATGTACACACCAATGAGATAAAAACTAGAGAATTCACGTACAGATGTATAGTTTGTCATTAGTTTAGTGTTGTTCTTACCGATCGAGTTCAAATAATTGCATACGCGTGTCATTATAATGATTATAATCGTCTTAGGCTATTAATTTTTTTTTTAATTTTTTGTATACTGACTATATTTATGTTGACATGGGCTAGTGTCACAAAAAAAAGAAATAGTTCGGTGGTAAATGATATTACAATAACTTTTAACAGTCTAATTTTATGTTGAATTATATGAATAAACTTATTTCAGTGATTAAAGGAGGAATAGTTGATGTTCTTAGAGGTCATACGTTTGAGCGTTTATTGTCAAATGATTGAACGTATTTATAATCACCTTAGTCTATTGAGATAGAATGGATCAACGATGACGATATTAGTAATGAGGGCATCATACAAGATAGGATAAATTATGTATCGGTTACTCAACTATCATTTGGTTTCATTTTGGTCACTCAACTATTTTCTATAAATCGTAATGCTATGTTTAGGTTTTGTTTTGATTACTCACTGTTAAAAAATCAATAGTGATGATGATGTGTTACAATAAAAAAAATATTATATTGAAAAGATAAAATAAAATAAATTAGCACGTCGACAATTTTGTATAATATTTTACAGTAAGTGATCAAAATAGAATCAAAACATAATATTATATTGACACGCTTTAAAAATTGATCGATCTTATATTGATTCGATTTAAAAATTGATCGATATGATATTGATCCCGACCTTCACAGCAGGCATGCACGTGTGAAGCAGCAGTACCCCAAACTCCTTGTCTCCCCCACAATACAAAAGAAAACCCTAACAACATCTCTCTCTCTCTCTTTATGTGTGTGTGTGTGTGTGATCTAATTCGAAACATACTGTAAATGCTTATTCTCATAAAATCAAAATGCATCAAGAATCCATGAATTTACAGTCATTCAATCAACATGCAAGCATTTATCTTCTACTCATCAAATTCAATTCGAAAAGAAGAAAAAATGGAAACAAGACCTGGAAAATGTTGCTCCACAAACCCAGATTTTCTAGCTATAAATGAACTTCTTTCTGGAAATTGTTAGCTAGAATGGAGGACGACCACCACTTGCCCAAAATGACTCGTTTGGTAAGGAACTGAGAAGATTTGGTGCCAGTCCATGAAAAAACGGTGCATTTGACTCGGACGGCACTTGTTGTTGTTGTTGTTGTCCGCCCATTACATCCGGCGGTGATTCGGTTACGCCGCCTTGCATCGGGAGCTGCGGTGGTTCTTCTTCTTCCAATGGAAGACGCTCATAAGCTGCGTTACTAAAAGAAGCTGCCATGATCACGACAGGACCTGAACATGTTAGTGTCCCCACAACGTTGCCACCTACGACCTGGCCTTGTCCGCCGGACAGATATATGGTTAGCCCCGTCGCCGAAGGAGGTGCCGGGGGAGGCAAGAACGAACCCGACAACGATAATATCTCGAAGCGCCCGTGTAAGCTCATGATTGCACCAGCCGAGGCCGGTTGCCGAAGCGTAACGTTGGTGACGTTCCCAGTCCCACTCATGATGCAAACGCCCCTCTGGCGTCGTCTGGCGAACGTGGCGACGCTCTCGACGACATCGTATCCGTCGCCGATCTCCATCACGTGGGAGCGCAAAGCGTTGGCGCTGTCTTGAGTGATAATGATGGGTTGTCTGGGCTTGTTCTTGGATCCGGCAGGCCTACCTCGTGGCCTTCTATTCATCTCACCTTCACCACCACCACCATGGATGTCGAGCTCTCTGCCTTCTTCTCCACCGCGGCTTCCGCCGTCTTCTTCGCGATCCCGTTTCTTTAGGCCGCTGCTGCTGCTGCTTTGCTCGTTTTCTTCCGAGTTTTGGCGGTGGAATTGATGGTGTTCTTGCTGCTGCAGCTGGTGGTGAAGATTGAAATCTCTTATGTTAAATGGCGGCGGAAGAGACAGACCATGAGATGTAACTGGATCCATTACTCGAAGCTCAAACGGGGGAAGAAACTCAGCTTAAAGCAATGATTAAAAGACCCAGAAGAAGCAATGAAAAGCACCAATTAAAGGAAGAACTAGCAAGCATTAACACACAGCAAACCCTAAACCAGAACCCAGAAAACTGTGTTGATTTTGGGGTTTCGAAGAGGAGTTTTCATTTGAATTCTCCATCTTTCTTCTTCTTCTTCTGTATATAAGAAATCTTTATGTATTCTTAGAGAGAGAGAATATGGGGCTACTAAAACTGTATATATTGAAAGATGAAAGTACATGGTTAAATTATAATTTTAGTCCGTTTATTTTTCTTAAATTTAAATTTTAGTTTATGTATTCTAATTTAATACTATTAGATCATTGTTTAATAATATTGATAATTATTTTGACTAAAATGATGATTTGAGTATTTTTAAAAGAAATCACACTTCCAACTCAGTATATTAAAATATTGTTTTGTTAAAATTAATTCTTTAATAAGAAAATCTACTTTGAAATTTTAAGTGTTTATTTTATTTAGATAAACTAATAATTATAAAAGTGAAAGATTAAATTATGTCAATTTAAAGTATATAGATTAAATTTAAATAAATTTTCAAACTTCTTCCTAGCTTTTAATTTATTTTTGGGTTTTTAAATGAGCTGATACTTAATATTTTAATTTTTTTTATTTTTTAAAATATTTTTTAAATTAAATAGATCCTCAATTTTTTCAAAAAAATAAATAAATTATTTTACTATGTCACCTGATACATGAACTACCACGTCAACAAATTTAATGATTATATTAATGATGTTACGTTGATAAACCGATTTTATTAATGAAAATATTTATTTGATATATTTTAATATAATTTTTTTAAAAATGTTTTCCAAATAAAAGACGAATTTGCTTTTCTTGATAATAGAGACTTTTTACCATTGATTCTAAATTTGAGGGACCAAATGCTAATATTTTAAAATGTTTTTCTTGAAAAATAGAGAGACTTTTTACCATTGGAATCTAAATTTGAAGGACTAAACCCTTATTTACCCGAAGATAGAGAGAGAATTTGGTCAACTTGGTTTCCGCAAAGTCTGGTTGTGGGCGGTGGTGTTAGTAAGGCCCCCACTTCTCTATCTAAAATCATTTCATAATAATAATCCATAAATAATTACGAAAAATAAATAATTTAGGACGTGGTCACTATAGATCAACTTCTATTCACATTGACATGGTATTTTACTATAATTACACATTTAATCTTTATTATTTACATATTCTCTCAATTTAGTCATACTTTTAATAAATTAAAATAAAATTAATCATCTAATCGATTGATGTCACATGTCACTAGTGGCATGTATCGCGCCAAGTTTTACCATTCGGTTGGAAGACTAACTTTATTTTAATTTAATAGATTTATTTTCGACCAATTTTTTTTGCTTTGTTAAATTAAAATAAAATAAAGTTAGTCTTCCAACCGAATGATGACACACGACACGACAAGTAGTACCAATGACATGTGGCATCATTCGATCTGAGGAATAAATTTATTTTAATTTATTAAAAGTATGACTACATTGAGAGAATATGTAAATAGTAGAGAACAAATGTGTGATTGTACCAAAATATTTAAATGCAGTTAACTCGCGGTGGTCACATCTTAATTAAATAAGAACGAATGTGACAATATCTTATGCATTTTGAAATCGGTTACCAAAAATGAACAAAACACAAACATAAACGATCGTTCGTGTAGTTAACAAGATATAAATCTACAAAGAAACTAGAACGAAACTAAATATAAATTATATATGATCATAAAGCAGGGGAAACATAACCAACGGAGGTTGGTTCAAGCTGTAAACAACGTGATATCGATTAAGCAATGTCTTAGGTTCGTGTTCTTGTGTGTAGAAAGTCCCCACTAAGAGACTCATCTACTAAAACTAGACGTGCGACCCTGAGATAAATAAAAACAATAAACAGAAGTCCTATCATTGCGGGCTAACACGTTCAATCTTTGTCGCATTGCTTGTGTTCATTGATAAACACAGAGATCGCAGCAATAAAATAAACCATAAAAACGAAGGTTTGTGTATATATTATTACCCACAGGGCACTGCTTTTATAAAATCCATGAACAGGTTTGACAATTGACCGAATAATCCTGGGTGTCGGGGGCGTGAACACACTCGTCGGAGCCGCTGACACCAAACCACCCTTTTGTTGCTGTTCCTCCTTTAGGGTTTCCATGCCTCGGACCCCTTGATTTTGTGTTTATTTAAACTTATCTCTTCCATTACAATCCAAAAATAATCATGAATTAAAGTATTAAACCGATCTAGGTTAACCCATCAAGTAACCCGAGTGATTAAACGAAGTGCTATTCTCTTTTGAAGTTTCGAGCTCGAGTAGTTGCGTCTGTATGGGTGTGTGTGCGTTATCAATAATTAAGAAAGATTATAAATAGATACTACACATAATCACTCCAGACTATTAAAAAAATAAATCTCGATTATGGCAAAGTCATCTCATTCAAATAGAATTTAGTTATTAATAATTAAAAAAATTATAAATGGATAATACCTTATAATCATACTAAATAATGCAAGAGAATGACATTCGTTTTTTAAATTTTTTGTTTAAAATGATATTGAAAGTAAATTTAACATCACTTTAAAAATATTTAATATTATTTTTTTGTTCTCACCAATTTAGATTTTGAAATTACATTTTAGATTTCTTTTTACTCCGTTGATGATTTCAATGATTTAAAGCGATTTATCTTTACATTTGCCGTGTTTTTTTACTTATAGTGGCGCTTTAAAGCGCCGTCAAAAGGTTTACGACGATATAAAAAACGCCGCAAGAAGCGCCGCTAAAATTTGCGGCGTTTGTCAACAAAAAACGCCGCAATAGGTGAAGATATATAGCCGCGTTTCTTGAATAAACACCGCAATAGGTGTTGTTATTTAGCGACGCTTGTCTCATAAACGTCGCAATATGTGTTGCGATTTAGTGGTATTTGTCTCGCAAACACCGGCAAAAGTGTAGATATTTAACGGGTTTTTTTTGGATAAAACGCCGCAAAATGTCTACATCTATAGCGGCGTTTACGCCGCAAATGTAGGGGTGTTCAAAATTCGGTTTTAACCGAATTAACCGACTGAACCGAATTAGTTCGGTTAATTCGGTCGGTCACCGAATTAATTCGGTCGGGGAACGGTTAAAGATTTTTTTAGAATTCGGTTAACGGTTAATTCGGTTCGAAATCGGTTAATTAACCAAATTAACCGAATTAATCTTTAAATATAATTATATTAAGAGGCCCAATCCATTTAAAATCCATTTAAAACCCAAATCAATATTAATTAATTAAAATAATATCAAAACTAAATGCAAAATGTTTGAATCAAATTAATTAGATATTATTTATAATTAGATATTATTTAAATTAATTGTAAATTGTTTTTTTAATTAAAAAAAATATTAAATTCTAAAATTCTAAAAAAATTCGGTTAATTCGAAAATTAACCGAATTAACCGAAATTTATTCGGTTCGGTTAATATTTTTGAAAAAAAGTTCGGTTCGGTTAACGGTTAAAGAAAAAAAAAGTTCGGTTAATTCGAAAATGGTAGTTCGGTCGGTTCGGCCACCGAATTAACCGAATGAACACCCCTACGCAAATGGTTAAGATATTTAGCGGCTTTTTCGGATACAAATGTCGCAAAAAGTCTGTTATATAGCGGTGTTTGTTGGAAAAACGCCACTATAATTGTTATAAACGCCGCTAGATTACCACTCTATTGCGGCGTTTGTTTGAAAAACGCCACTATAAACAGCCCTATTCCGACATTTGTGCTATAAACGCCACTAAATTACTACTCTATTGCGGTGTTTGTTGGGAAAATGCACCTAAATATCTTTTTTGTGGCATTTGGATTATAAACGCCGCTATATGTAAAAATTTTGTGACATTTACTCTCCAAACGCCTCTAAAAGTGCCGATACATAACACTTTCACTGTAGTGATTCAATTATAAGTTCGTTGGAAAAGAGATGCAACTAATAAATAAGGGTGAAGGGATTTAGGATTTTTTTAGGTTGTCCTCCGGTTGTAAGGCTTCGGCTTGATTAATCTGGACCGACTCGGGTCGCACACCTAGTTTTGGTAAGCGAGTCACCCAACGAGAATTTTCTACATACACAAGGACTCGAACGCGAGAATTTACTTAAGTGATATCAAACTGCTTACTACTTAAACCAACCATCGTTGGTAGATTTATGGTATTTTTTTTAAAATTTTCTTTTGAAGTATCGTTTTTGACGATGATATAGTGTAATTGTCTTTTTTTTTAACTTTTAAATAAATATTCTCAACGTTTTGATTTATTTATTTTCATATATTTTTAAATCATTTATTTTTGTCTGTTTTTATGACACGATTGTTCGTTAACTTTTATAACACTGTTGTTTGTTTTTATAACCGTTTTGATTCTCACCGTGAAACTTGAGCGGAATTTTTGGCAACAAGATGTGCCTTGTAACAAGCAATCGAGCATATGATTTAACAAATATCAACGATCTTATATAGTTAGATCCTTTTTTACAGCAGTTTATTGATACATTTAAAACCGTTCACAAAGCAACCTATCAACTAAGTTTCTCAATCTCCACGCCATACCCGTCCATTGACAAGTACAACATGTGATACGTCGCAAGACCCAAAATTTCATGACATATATATTTTTTTAATTGATATAATAACATATTTAATCTTCAATTCTAAAAAATCATATCGTATTTTTTCAAATTTTAAATAATTTAACAAATTTAACCTTCGACATCGACTAATTTTAGGCCCACTAACCCATTTTTGTGGCTTTAACAAAAGAAAGCCCATACTTTTATTGAATGGGCCATGATGATTTTATCTGTACCCAACACTTATGGTGATCAAATTTTCTTTCCTACAAAGAGGTATTGTTGTTTAGAGACAGAAATTCTTAAATCTAGTCGAGAAAGTCGTCGTCTCCGTCATCGTCGTCGTTTTCGATCGCAGAACATATCATCCTAATGAACACACACGAGATCTCAAGTCAGCAGCTGCTAAACTCAATCGAAAGAAACATGTTTAGCTAGAGCGAGCGAGCTCTGCATCGTCGAAAAATCGAAACGTACCAGAATA